CTGGAACTCTTCTCCCATAAATACCAAATAAAACTATAGTTTGTGCAATAGTCCCGGAGATATCGGTTGACCCAGACTGTATTTGTTTGCATGAGACATCTTTACAGCACTCTGGGGAAAAAACAGAGTTTCAAAACCAGAACATCTATCCTCACACAAATCTGCTGAACCGTGGAGCCATATTTCCTGACTTCCAGGTATTTCTTTTGGAGTAGATACAGGAACACTTGTACATCATTGTGAGTCACTCCTTGTGCATATGTGCACATTACATCCATTTTCTCCTGCGCTGACAGGGCATTGCCAAACGATTTAGTTTAGATAGAGCTGGCTCCTCAGCATAATTTTTCACACACACATTTTAGCGCACTGAAAGCTGAATGCTGATTTACAACCTTTTTGGAATTTGTTTTTCGCCGTGGTTTATGCCAAAGATGTTTTATTCATATAAAACAAATGCCTGACATTTGTTTCATTAAGATATTAAACTTGCACTCCGTTTGCTCTCACCGAAGATACCAGCCATGTAAAGGATTGCCAGGCCGGGCTCTGGTGTGGGCACAGCTGAGGGACTTGGAAAATGCCATGTGAGCTCATCTTTTGCAGCTCTGACTAGGCAAGCCCTGTTCAGAGCCCTGATTCAGTGGCAATTAAATACACCAGAAAAGCACCCAACCCCACCCTTTGCAGCTGGAGCTTTGTCTGAATGTGATAAGAGATCATTAATTTTCAATTTGACCTCAGTCTATAACGTTCAAGTGGCCTCTTTGTTCTCACAGTGATGTTACAAGCAAGGTCTGAGTCAAGGGAACTGGAAAGGAAATATTAAAATAGTCCTGAAAACCTCTTTAGCCTTGTGATCTTGCTCCTCCTAACTTAACCATGCACACCTTATCCATCGGACCATCACAGCCCCATGGCACGGATTTCCTCTTGGTGACTGGTTTTGCCCAGAACAAACAGCACTGCTCAGCCAAGGTGAGAGTTGTGCAATGGTAATAATGGATATTGAAACTCTGCAGCGAAAACATGTTGTGAACCAACTGCCGGGGCAAAGTTTATTTATATCAAATGTCTGTGTGTAGCATTTGCAACAATCTACGGGCAGAATAAAAGCTGAAATTCACTGATTAGAGTGTTCGCTGTGAATAGCTTGTACAGCTCTGAATTGAAAGACAGAGTTGAAGAAATTGTTATTACAACCCACTGCAAAAAGAGCTATTGTGAACCTATGGGCACATCAACAGCTGTCTATGGAAAATTATTATTATTAGAGAAGAGAAAATGTCCTATTTTTAACAGATAATCCGAGATTCTGGGTTGAATTAGAATGAAGGAGACCATCTTTCACATCCTTTTTCATTCAGGCATTTGGCAAGCCAAGACTTCATAGAATGTAATGTTTAAATTGCTGTTTGTTACTGGTGGTTTCTTATTGTAGCACCTCAAGTACTTCAGGAGAGGACCTAGGGCTTGGGTTCTTCTGTAAAGACACAACTACTTACTGTGATTATTTGGTGCTTTATGCTGCTTAGTTAGGGTTAGTTTAAGGTTGGAACATTTTAGGGTTGTTTTAATGTGGTTTTTCTGCTTTTAAGCAAATCCAGTTTTCCAGTGACTAACTCATGATTTATACTGAAACAAATATCTAAATCTTCCTCTCCCTCTGACAGAATTAACAGGGCTGGATGGCACCAGAACTGGGACCAGCACATGTTAGAGACTTCATTGTCTCTTCTCTGTGGATGCTCTGGAGGAATAAATCCTGTTGGGGGATTGTCCCATCAAATATGAGGAAAAGGGATATGCAACACCTTGACTGTGTCTTCAAAAACCTTCACAACAGCCTGAGACCTGCTCAGAAACATTTGGAACTTCACAGGCAGGAAAAGGACACCTTTTTTCCCCCCCTTTTCCAGACTCTAGGGTTTATAAGCCAAGTAAGTGACCTCAAGGAATATCTTTCTTATAGATCTATTTTATGCAAGTTTAAGGGTAATGGAAAGGGAAGGATGATGGCTAAATTAGCTAATAAGATGCTTGGGGACTTCTTGTCAGAGGTAAGCACAAAAACTAATGAAAAAATGTTGATTTTTTTAATGCTGCCTTTAGATTTTAAGTATGTGAGTATATGTAGCCTTTCTGAGAAATAAAAAAAAAACAACCAAAGAAATCAGTGTAGATTTGATAAAATTTCAGCTTCCTGATGATACATCCTCAGACATTCAGGGAAAACAAGCAATGTTATCAAGGCTCCACCACATTACGTGACCTATGTGAAGAGCTCAGGCAGAAACTGAGACCTGATAACACTTTATAATAAATATCCTGATGGGGAAAAATATTGTGAAATACTTTTACAGACAAATGTTGATCTTGAGCAATTTTCTGCTGGTCAGTGGGCAATGCTGAAACTTGAACCCAGCACTGGTTTTAAGTATTTTTGCTCTATTCAGCTCTGGTATTAATCTGAAGCAGTATGTCATTCTGTGCTGGAGTGATTTTTGCTGAGCTGATGGATGTAACTGCAAATACTGGGAAGAGTTTTTCCAGATCTGCACTTTGTATTGCAGTTGTTAATATGTTTATTGCTTTTCTTATCCAAATTTTAGCTGTTTGAATGTCATATTAATTAAACAAATTCAGAATGGGTTAATTCAGCAACTGGAAGGCTTATATTTATCATTGTTCAGTAATACTACCCAAGTGTCAGCTCTTAGTTTGAAAAATTCCTCTGAACTAGTAAACCAGAGAATAATAAAGATGCTATAATTTTCTTTCACTAAAATAAACAGAATATTTTCTTAGTTAATTGTTTACATGTCTTACTCCTGTCACTTTCCTTTCATCCTTATTTTTCTTGTTTTCCTTTATTCACATTTCATCTCTTGAACTCCTTATCTCTCTAATCCTTTATGTTCTTGTTTTATCTCTCATTCCACCATTTTATTCCCTGTTTCCTAAGCCTATCTCCCATTCCATGTTAGGCTCCCCAGGCTTTAAATGCCCTTTGAACCCTTTTTCCCTTTCCCCCAGTTCTCTACCTTTCTCTTCTCTTTAATTTTTCCTTGCAGCAATCTCTGCAGAACAATACTAGAAGTCGAGCTGGCAGGCTGACAAAAAAGAACAGTTGGAAAGAAAAGTTTACTCAAAGACAGGCACATTTCTTTTTTTCTTTTTTTTTTTTTTTTTAAAAATCTATAGGAAGGTGTTGCCAAATCATCTGCTTTTTCAGATGTGAAACTTTTAGCAAAGCTCTTTGCAGCGCTGATGTGAAGGAAGGAGCAGGAAACACTATCAGGTTGCCAGATGACTTGAGGATGGTGAGGTGGGATTCTTAATGCACGTGACAGCAGTAATTCAGGATATTATTCCTCATGTAAAAATAGCTATGCAAAATTAACACAAAGGCTTTGGTATAAAAAGATAAAAGCCAGGAAACTCAGAGGCTGTGCAGCTCTTTTTATCTCGTTTCATTTTGGTTAGAGGATTGTGGGGAAGCAGCAGAAGAGATAGAGTGTTTACACTGCAGCATCTGGGCCAAGGTGTAGTCATGACAAAAGGTTATTGTATTCCTGCCTGGAAAATGGGTGGGAAGAAGAGCTGAGTGTAAAGGTGATGATCTTAGGCTAGGGGCACACAGGCAGAGATGGGAAAGGTGAAAGGCAAATCTGGAACACGGCAGCAAGTATCTACAAATCAGTTGGTGGGCCTGTGAACGACAGAAAATTTCAACTGTGACTGGTACAGGAGTGTGCTTGTTACTGGGGGTAGAATAAACCACTTCAGGCTTTGCATCTTATAGTCTCAGCTTTCTAAAAGCTCAAAGAGATATTCTTTTCCCGAAGCTGGAGCGACTTCAGTTGGCAATCTTAGATTGCATTGCTTTATTCTGAATTTGAATTTTGCTCCTGGAAATAACATGGTGATGTGAAGAGAGCCACAGACAGGATTTCTTTCTCCTTCCCCACCTCCCGAGCCGATGACCCTGAGCCTTGACTTGCATTCCTAATAGGATAGGCTTTCCTTTGTAAGAATTCTTTAGCACCTGTAGGTTATGTGTTCAATTAGCATCTATATCCTGAACTGAGCCCAGTTGCACAAGCTTTGAAAAAAGTAACAACCAAATGGCTAATTAGGTCAAATTTGGGGCGTATCAAACTTGACAGTGTCTGGCTTACATCACTGTGGATTTACATAATGGAACTTAACGGCCCTGAAGAGTCTGTTGTGTCTACCCTGATGACTCCGTGGAAGCTTTTTTCCATAATTTTCTTTAAAATCTAAAATATTCACTCAGAAGAATGTCTTCTTGATAACTTTTCTGTTTGTCCTGTGTAGTGCAGGGCTTCAACTGCTCATTACCTGGGCTATAAACACAATAGTATTGCAGTCAGTTATCTTATTTTTCAGAAGTCAGTAACCAACGTCAGCAACCAATTGTTTAACAAATTTCCTTTTTAAAACCAAAGCTATTTTTCAACTGTTTGTTCAACTACAAAAGCCTGGGAGACATGGCAAAACCCATGAGGACTCAAGGTAAAATGCCTCTGGTAGACTTTTCCAGAGATAATACCTACCAATGAGCAATAATTAAAAAAAAAGCAAACAAACCAACAAAATCTTAAGTTAATAAAGTTTTATATTCTTACCGTGGCTTCCTCTGTCTTCTAGCAGCCCATCCTGTACATCAAAGGTCACAAAGAACACAATGAGTCACTATCAAAACCCAAAGAATGCTTCGTGAACAATTACTATACATAAATTGCAGGCTGGTATTTCGTTTCTGTGCCAACTCACAGTAATACAGCCCATTTCCTCTTCATTTTTTTTTTCCCTGCAGCTTTTGTCCATAATAACAAACAGCTTTGTTAATCTGAGCTTGAATTTTTCTTTTTCTCTTTTTTTTTTTTTTTTTTTGGTGTACTTATACCTTTGCCTTTTTGAGTAGTGGGCAGCAGTGGTATGAAGTCTTTTACTACAGCTCCTAAGTCTACACTTCTTTGGTGTCAGAGTCCCCAGCAACTCTATAATGCTCTATAAAGCTTTGTAGCCAAAAAAATCATTAGGAATACTGAAAGGGTCCCCTTTGAAACCCAGAATCAAAGCATCCCCCAGAGAGGAATCAGCTGTACATTAGCTCATGCCTGGCAGAGCAAGTGAGCACCGTGCAGCTCTGAAACCTGTGCGGATCCCTCAACGCATCCATTGTCTGCAGGACCTCTGGATCCATTCACCCGGTTCATCAAATATGGTACCTTATGTACATTTACGCCCATGCACGTGGGACAAAACAGGCCTGTCTGAAGTCAACATTATCTTAGCAATCATTAAGCTTGGCTTTTCATGCTGCAATCCCCATTTTTCCCACTTTGGGCAACACCTTGTGTGCACGACTCTTGCTGCGATCCCCTGAAAGAGAAGCAAGAGATGTTCACTCCCTGGTATTGTTTAACATCCAAGAAATAAAAAAAAAAACCCTCTAAAAAATTTGCTGAACAAACATCACAAAGACAAATAAAGGAGAATTGTTTCTCAGGAGGTACGATTTATGTGTGTGTGCATGTGTGGGTGTGCAATTAAATAATGAAGGCGAACCCAGATTTATAATGTCGTCGTGTTATTACCTAAGCACTCAAATTCTGCATGCTGGTCAGTTTTTAAGTAGTCTGCTGGTTAATATTTATTGTCTTTAACGAGCAATATTATGGACTAGAAAGTTGTGATGACAAGTAGTAACAACTGGCATTCTCTCAACAATTCCACAATAAGAAAAGAGGGAAGTAAGATAATATCAGCCAGCTTCCTTTTGAAGAGGTTTGGTTAAGTCAGAATTCTTCGTTTGAGAAAATTACAAAGCAAAACTACTTCAGACTATTCTACCTAGCATGGGAGGAAGATAGTAGATATTTTTAATGTTCCTAAAATAATCACATCCTATTGTACCCTGCTCTAGTAAAAGGTATACTGAAGTAAAACACTGCTTTTTTTTTTTCCTTCTGAATTATGAGAACTGTTCAAAGACCCTTTGCTTCAGTTCATGATAACAGAAGTAATCAAATGTGTTTGAGGGATGTATACTATACCCTGGCCATAGACTGAAATACAGGACACAGTCAGGCCCAGGGCTTTGATTTGTCTTCAAAGATATTCATATCAACTACTGACATAAAGGTGACTCCAAGAAGAGTTTGTGATTTTCATTACAATACACTTGACAAGTTTGGAGCCTAAATTTTAGTTCTTTACTCCATTATTAACCTTACATATAAACTTGCATGCGTTTATCCATGCAGTTTCCAGCTTTCAATCCCTAGAAAGGAGATGGGAGCACTTACATATCTTTGGGGATTAAGATCTAATCCTGGAGGGATTCCAGGCTGGCAACATTTTATACTTGTAAAAAGCACCACTACAGCAATTGTGAATAAACATAGGTACCAACAGGTCCTCTCAAGATTGGTATATGTTGTTAAAATGCTATTCTGGGGCAATAACATTATCATAGAATCATTAAATCATTTGGGTTGGAAGGGACCTTAAAGACCATGTTGTTCCAACTCCCTGCCATGGGCAGGGACATCTTCCACTAGACCAGGTTGCTTAAAGCCCCATTATCATGTAAATCTCATAAGTTATTAATTATTAATAAAAAAGTGCATTTCGCATTGAGTGAAAGCTGCTATAGCAGGATAATTCATAAATCTTTTTTGAGCCAAATTTCAACAAAGCATTTATAGTTTTTGTACATTCTTGGTTGATTAATTCCGCAAAATTGCATATACACATATAATCTCCATTTTACATATGCATATGCATTTGCTTATACCTATCTCCAAATTACAAGTGGCATAAGCACTGTAAAATTTGCATACATCCAAAAGAAGACTCCTGCAGGAGAACTTTTAGACATGTGACCTCTTCTAAGTTACACCAGTAATATATAAAAAATTCCCTGTCACTTATGATATGGAGCAAAATGAAAGCAGAGGTGATGAAAGCGCTTGCTTGTGACTGAGAAAATAATACATTGTTTGGTCCTTCCCTGCAAAGAAAATATTTCTGCCTTTTTTTTTTTTTCCCCTCATTTTCCTTCTTCTCTTACAGTAACTGAATGTGGGTGGGAAACAGTAGAAACAGAAAGGGTCATGTTTGCTCCTCAAAATTTGAAGACGGTGTTTTTTTCCTTTGCCACAGATGCTCCGTGCTCATCAGTTGCCGTGTACTTCTGAGAGAGAAAAGAGAGAGAGAAATTGCCAATAACATTGGTAACCTTAAGTGTAGGCATGCATAAAAATTTGCTGAAAATTGGGTTGTGGTACATGTTCTTATTTTAGATTTGCCCTTGTTAACGTCTTTTTAATAAACAGGTGCATACACTTCCCCAAGCTGTCACTGTTGTTTATCCAGTCTGCACACTTTATAAATCTACTAATGGAATAGACCCAATCATCTCAAGGATCTGTGCTTTAATAAGCTACAGTCTCAAAGTTTTCAGGAAAATACTTTCTGGCACTATAGTTCTGCTGGATACAAGCTTCACAAGGTTTGTTTTTCAAGATAAAAAAAAAAAAGTGACACAATTTCACTTTTCAGCACAACGTAATAGAGAGTTTCATACATGCTTGACATTAAGATTAGCAACAAAGTGGGATGGGTGGAAGGAAAGGGAAATAAAAAGGTGTAAGAAAGGTGGAAAAGGCTTTTTTTTAGTGAAGTTTGAAACCAAGAGGATGCTTCCCACTGAGCACCTGGACCAATGAGGTGTAAACTCAGAGCTACTGTCACTAGGCAGCATCAGCCCCACTCCCAAGTTTCATTCCTTTCTCCACCTCTTGACCCAGGACAGAAGAGCCCACCACGAGACAACGGAGACACTGTTTTAAGTTCCTACCGATTCCTAGTTTTAATTTCAACTGAAATCTCCCATTTTTTTTTTTTTTACAAATGCTTGAACCATTAGGCTGCAACTCAAATCTTGGCCTCGCTCACACAGAGAAAGAACTACCAAAGGCTGTCCCTGGAAAAAGATTTTAGATGGTGAATGTCAAAGGGATGCAGGAGCTTCCTCTCCACACTGCAGTCTTTCATTGTAATCACAGTCTCACAGGTCATTCAGAGAGTCACCCCAACTGCTTGACCACTCCCTCGAGAGTGCTCAGGCACTCAGAGTTGTGCTGATGGAATGTGAGTATGTTGGCTTAATTTGGGGTAGGTATTTCATGTCTGTAAAGAGCATAAACTCTCTCCAGGCTTTCCTTAGAAGGTCTAAGTAAATACCTAACTTTGATTCATCCTAACATCAGAAGGATGTGGACTTGCTGGAGGGTGTCCAGAGAAGGCCACAAAGATGCTCTGAGGGCTGGAGCCCCTCTGCTATTAGAGACAGGCTGTGAGTTGAGCTACTCAGTCTGGAGAAGAGAAGGCTCTGGGAAGACCTTAGAGCTCCTTCCAGTGCTTAAAGGGCTCCAAGAGAGCTGGAGAGGGACTTTGGACAAGGGCCTGGAGTGACAGGAAAAGAGGGAAAGAGTTCAAAAATGAAAGAGGTCATGTTTAGATGGGATATTAGGAAGAAATTCTTGGCTGTGAGGGGGGTGAGGCCCTGGCACAGGACGCCCAGGGAAGCTGTGGCTGCCCCATCCCTGGAAGTGTTCAAGGCCAGGTTGGATGGTGCTTGGAGCAACCTAGGATAGTGGAAGGTGTCCCTCTCCATGGCAGGGGGCTTGGAACTAGATGATCTTTAAGGTCCATTCCAACACAAACCATTCTGTGATTCTGGATCCCATTCAGGAGACCAAACATTTACTGCTGCATTTCAGGTCTCAGTCTTAAGCAGCACAGACACCATTTATCAGATTCATCCCATGGTTCTTTGAGAGCAGTGGCTCTAAAGAAACTAATAGTTACAGTCCATGTATTAATACATTTAATAATTACTTTGCTCTTGAAATAGGTAAATAAGTTAAAGGTATATAATTAACTGCAGATTCCAGATTCATCTCATGAGCTTTTAGATTGCATTGCTGGAGATCAGTATTGTCTGATCATAGATTGCAAACAGAAATTGCTGAAATTTTTTCTAAGTATCACCATGGGAAGAGTTTCTCCTTTTAATTCCTTGCTGAAGGTGTCAGTTTGATAGCCCTGGAGAATGTAATTTGTAATATTTATCTCACAGAATCACAGAATGGGTCAGGTTGGAAGGGACCACAGTGGGTCACCTGGTCCAAACTCACTGCTCAAGCAGGCCCATCCCAGAGCACACAGTACAGGATTGTGTCCAGATGGGTCTGGAATACCTTCAGTGAGGGAGACTCCACACTCTCTCTGGGTGATCTGTTCCAGTGCTCAGTCACTGCACAGGAAAGAAACTCTTCCCCATGTTCAGGTGGAACTTCCTGGGCATCACTTCCCGCCCGTTCCATTGCTGGGTATCCCTGAGCAGAGCCTGGTCCATCCTCTGCCCCCTCCCTGCAGACACTGATAGACATTGATTAGGTCCCCTCTCAGTGTCCCTTCTCCAGGCTGAACAGGCCCAGCTCCCTCAGCCTTTCCTCGTAACAGAGAGTCTCATAATTTTGTCCGTAGCCTCTGCTGAACCCTCTCCAGGAGCTCCATGTACTGAGGATGTCCAGAAGTCAGGGGAATGAAAGCAGCAAAATAAACTTTCGGTCTCTCATTCAAGTTAATTGGAACTGGATGATCTTTAAGGTCTCTTCCAATACAAACCATTCTGTGATTCTGTGATTTCTTAACTAAAAGCTTCCTGTGTTGCTGTCAGAAGAGGAACATTTCTAGCTATCACCAGCTTGCTTTGCACTTAAGTCTATGGCCTACACATGAGAGGTCAAACAACCCCTTATGTACACCCAAAGCTCTCCAGCTCTTAAAGGGCTCTTTAAACCTGGAACTTGCATATGACCTGATGTAGTATAAGTTTCACAGTGCCTCATTAGGTGAAGAACCTTTGAGCAGCCTCTGTGATGGTCTGAGTCCCGGTGATCCACACAGAACTCTGCTCACGGTGCAGACTTCACCTCCAGCATTATTCTTGTTCGGAAAAAGGCAAAAAAATAAAAAGATTTTATTTTACGGTAGCAAGCCTGGGCGCAGGACAGATCGAGTGATTTGCCACGAAAAAAGTTAGAGAGGCTCATTAGAGGCAAAGTTATTAGGCCAAGCAAACAGTTAATCCCTGTTACACAGAGGTAACAGAGTTGCCAGCCTTGAACTCTAAATTAAAGGCACTCTCTGAGCACCAGAGAAGTGACTCTTTTCTGCAGCTTCCTCAGTACCATCCGTCTACCATAATGCTGTGGTGTTTTTCTTTCTTTAAATTCTGGGCTCTAACTAATTACTTGCAGGAAGTGCCTATTTTTATGCCATTAGTATGCAAATGAGCGAGAAGTAGAAAAATATTCTAAAGGAACTGTTACAATATCTGTCCACAGATTACTGGCCAATTAGAACATGGGATTAGGGCTGCAGGACCCCAAAAGAGTATGGCCAAAGTCTTTCTGCTTGGGTGCCTCAAGTGTAATTTCAATGGGAACTGTATATACACGGTCCTTTTCCTCAAAAAAAAAAGGGGAAAAAAAAAGTTCGAGCCTAAATTGCCTGCTTACAAATGAGCACTTTTACGCTTGAAAAATAAATGCCTTCACTTCCTTGCCTCAATTTTTCTATCAATAAATTGGGGCTAAAACATCCTGTTTGTCTGCGTTCCAGCACACGCTGGGGGCAAATTATTCAGCCAGACTGAAGGTCTCCTCATCTGTCACCCCGTTTGAAAGACACAATCTTACAAAATTATTTATAAGGTGTGTAATAAATATTAAAAGATTTTCAGGTTTTACCACTTCTGCCTAGGTAAAACCCAGGAAGAACTGTCTGCCTTGTGACATTCTGGCATTTCCATAGCTTGACAGAGTCAGGAATTCAAAAGTGCAGGACAGTGGAAAGTTATTGGAAAACAACTTTACTTGGCTTTTTGAACCTAAAAACTTGTGAAACAAAACTCTGCATTGTCCTGAGGATATTTCTTATGCAAATCAGCCTTCTCGTCACTCTTTCATAATCACTGACTAGCCAGAGCAGGAAAAAAACTCTTCAAGTTACTGGTGTTGATGCTTCTCACAGCTGTACTCTGTGGAAATTTTGCTTTGTCACTCCATTAGATGTTACTCATTTTGACTTCCTATTAAAAAAAATAAAAAAAGTTTATGTCTACATACCAGAGATAACACCACGCTAAACTGAGTCAGTGTGACAAAACATTTCTCTTCTGAAAAAGTTTTCCTGGAGAGGTTTGCCACATGGCCAAAAAGAGGGTTGATACACCTGGCTGGAATGACAACATTCCAGAGGAGTTGATCTAAGGGATGGAGCACATCTCCTATGAGAAAAGGCTGAGAGAATTGGGATTGTTCAGCCTGAAAAAGAGAAGGTTTTGAGGTGACATAATTGTGGCCTTCCAGTACCTTAAGGAAACTTACAGGAAAGATGGGGCAAGACTATTTGCAGGGACACGTAGTGACAGGACAAGGGGGAATGGGTTCAAGTTGAGAGAGAGTAGTTTAGATTACATATGAGGAAGAAATCCTTCCCTGTGAGGGTGGGGAGGCCCTGGCACAGGTTCCCAGAGAAGCTGTGGCTGCCCCTGGATCCCTGAAGTGTCCAAGGCCAGGCTGGACAGGGCTTGGAGCAAACTGGTCTAGCTGAAGGTGTCCCTGCCCGTGGCAGGGGGGGTTGGAATGAGATGAGCTTTAAAGGTCCCTTCGAACACAAACTATTCTGTGATTCTGTGATGATTCTATGATAACACCTGCCCAGCTCTCCCAGGAGCAGCACCACCTGAGAAGGCTTGAGTTAGGGAAAAAACACACACCTCCTACTCATTTCTAACCGGTAACAGCCCCGATTTTCACTCTTTTCAGCTGCTTCTCCCAGAAAATCGTTGGTTTTAATTTTTTTTTATTTAGCCCACCTGGCGAACAACTCCGCGCTATTTACCCCTTCCACCCCTCCCAAACTCTTCCTGGGTGTTTCCTCGCTTCATTCACACGGTTTGTTTCCCCCTCCGCATCACTTCGCTCAGGTTCCCTTCTCCTCACCCCCCCGCCCCGCTCCATCAGCCGGGACATCCCTGGGGGAGCCCCCCGGGTGGCGGGTCCCCTCTCCCCGCGGGCAGGGAGGGTCCCCGGGCGGCGGGGCGGGAGGGGGGGCCGGCTCTGAGCCGAGGGAGGGGCCGGCACGGCGGCGCGTCGGTGCCGACGGTCTCCAGGCGGGAGTGAGGAGGAGGAGGAAGAGGAGGAGGAGGAGGAGGAGGTGAGCGCCCTCGGGGTGGGGTGAGCAGCGGGGCCGCCCGCGCCAGCCCGGGAGGGAGGGAAGGGGTCAGCGGGGCGGGCGCTCGGCAGGACCGGCGTGGAGAGGGGGCTCCGGGCGGGGGGAGCCGAGCAGAGCCGAGGGGAGCCGAGTGGAGCTCAGGGGACCCGGCTTCGCCCGCCGCGGCTCCGGCACCTGCGGAGGGTGGACCCCTTGGATGGAGCCTGGCTGGGGGGAGTCAGGGCCGCTCGTTCCCCCGGGAGCCCCGGTGCCGCCTCCAGGCCGCCCCAACATGGCTGCCGGGCCGGGCAGGGCGGGCAGGGGCTGCCGGGCCCCCTCAGCTCCCCCCGGCCCTGCCCCCGGCGATCCCCGGCCCTGCCCCGGGCGGCGGCGCGGCCTGGCCGGGCCTGGCCCCGCAGGTGCTGCTGGGGGAGCTCGGGCTGCACCACCCCGCGTTTAAAGTGCCCTTCCCCGCAGACACTCTTGTTTTTACCCTTTGGTTTTTTTTGCTTTCGCGTCCAGCGGCTGCTTTTTTTTTTTTTTTTTTTTTTTACGGTTTTTGCAGCTCCAAGCGTCAAAATGTTAGTGTATGCAAACAGTTCTGCTGGTGAAACTACCTGGAAAAATGTGCCTTTTAGTTTTGGCGTAGCATCGTGCTTTATAGAAGGAAAACCGAGAAACATTAAGAACGCTTAAGTTTTAAAAAATGCATAGATTTTGGTTTTATTATTGTAGGCTAAAAGTGCCGTGGGACATACTGCTTTGCAGCTGAGGAGTTGCTTAAGTGTAGTTTGCAAAGCATATCCGAAGTTTAGGGAAGTGTGTCTGGGATGAGTGGGACTTGGCAGGTTTTAACACATGACTGCAGTGGCTAGAGCAGCAGACTGGAGGAGGGAAACCCTTTAAGGTGCAAAGACGTGAACTTTATTGCTATTTTTTTTGTTTTTATTTTTAAGAAGTGGAGAAAGAGTTTGAAGCTTAGTTTATGGGAGGGTTTTCTGGCTGATGAGAAGTGGGTGCACATTACTGTGATTTAGTTTAGCCAATAGACAGGTAAAGTCGAGCAGCAGGTTTTAGTGTGGCTTATGACAATGGTTTGGCATAATTCAATAGAGCTATTTTATTGGACTCTATTAACCTGGTTAACCTTAAATCTTAACCATGACAGGGTTTTCATGTTAAGAGCCTCTATACAAAGCACAGTATTGAATTTTAATTGAAGCTTTCAAGGCCTAATGTAGAGTGTATTCTTCTTGCTTCATCTTTTTTCTCCCTCTTCTTGGAAGTCCAGGTGTACTAAAATCAGTTTAAGTGCGTGAATCCAGGTTACACAAATCAATTAAGGGCAGGCAGGATTTTAAATCAGTGCTGGCTCTTTTTGTATCTATGTGCCTGCCACATGTAAAAAAGCGTGGGTCATCCTCACTATATTTGTAAACACCGTGGTGTTTACAAATGTAAGAGTATACAAATACATCTTGTAAACACGTGTTGTTTACAAACTTTTGGATCAGTTTCCCAGTTGATTGATAGTGATGGTAGAAACTAGGAAGCAAGTTCTGTTCAGCTCCAGGTGTTGGTACTTTACAAACAGAGCACCAAATTCCTCCCTCAGCTGGTAAATGCACAGTCTGAATTCTCATGCAGTAATACTGTTACACCTGAATTTCAGCCTTCTGGGATTTGCCACGAGTTAAATGCCTGTTAATTAACTCCTGTGTGTCTCTCTCCTGCCTTAGGATCAGTACCAAGTGCAGCAGGTGCTGTTGCAGAAGTCATGCCTGTGTTACAGCTGAAATGTGTCCCTTTTGCTGCTAAGTCACTCAGACTCCAATGTAAAACTTATACAACTTCCTTAATGTTGTTTTAAAAGTAAGATATAGACATATTTTAAAGACCTAGTTGGCTGGAGGCCCATTTTAGAGTGGCCGGTAAAAGCAATAAACTATCCTCAAACATTTCTGCTCAATAAAATTTGAGAATATGAAAACAAAAAGTTCCTGGCTTAGCTTTTTGTAAATGTTTTCTACACCCTGTGACTGCAAAGTGCTTTGAGCCCACAGCTCAGAGCCACATGACTTGGGCACTGTAGGCCTCTGACCCATTCTGCAGAGTGGACTCTTCTACTTTCTGTTTTGATCAGAGCAGTGAAGGTTTGTGGTCTCTGACCAATGTCCTGCACTGGTGAGAGTGTACATACATTCTGTCATCAAAACAGTGTGTTACCAGTGTACTTTCCTTCACTCAGGACTCCTGGAATAAACTTCTTGGGCAAAACCTGAATGGCTGTTGGAAGCTGTGATTGCCCCCAGGCACTTCCTGATGTAGGGAGGGGCCAGTAGTTTTAGAAACATTTGCTGTATTCAGATTCCTTACTGTTTGTAATCTGACTTGTTAGATCTGGATTCTAACTTGTAGAAAATAAATAAAATATATATGCATCTCATTGTTTGGCTTCACAAGATGAGAATATGTTTATCCAAAACTGTTCTGGATAGTCGAGCCATTGGGATAAGGCATTTCTCCTGCAGCTGTTGAGCTTTTTGCATTTAATGTAAAATGTTGTCTTGTGTTAGCTCTTCCAGCTGCAAAGATGAAGTCTTGTCCAAAGAGTTGAGATGTTCCCTGGTTAAATAACTGGGTTAACTGCTTTTCCCATAAGAATTGAATCCTTAAACTGTGTGCTCAGAAGAAACATATATATGTTGCTGTGCGAACAGGATTGTGTTCTGGTGTAAGGAAATATGCTGAAAATATATTTTGAGGTTTGGCTTTTAGTGATATGAGTGTTTAGTTGTTGTAAGTATTCAAGGCCAGGTTGGATGGGACTTGGAGAAACCTGGGCTAGTGGAAGGTGGCCTGCCCACGGCAGATATTTGGAACTAGATGGTGTTTAAGGTTCCTTCCTAGCCAAAGTATTTAATAATTCTGTTCTATGATACTGGTATAAATAACAGGACCTTAATGTTGACTCTTCTGTTTTAGGGCCTCTATGTGCCACTGCTTGAGACATGAGCTGTTGTGTAGCGGGAGTAGTAGAAAAACAAAGGCAAATGATTTGCTCACTTGAACATAGCAAGTATCTCATTGTCTGGGATTACTTGTATAATTTACTATTACTTCTAATCCAAAAGAATTGCAAAATTGAAGAACAAACTCTAAATACATATGCAAGGCTGTTAGGATTCCATGGAAAAAAAAATGGCTATCATGGTTTTTTTTCCCCCCCATTTGTAAGTGAGAAATGCACTCTACTAAGTTTGTAAAGCAGGAAAATCATGTTAATCTTTGGTGGCAGAATTGTTAACAGGGGGCTGCAGAGAGGCAGCCTCCCCCTGCCCCCAGCCATCCGTAAGTGGTGCAGTTAGCAGTGGGGAAGCAGTGCCTGAGTGCTGGAAGGACACGAATCCCAGTGTGAATTTCACTTCTCCATGGATTTATATCAAAGGGTGTCTTAAACGCGCACCTTCGCTGGCCATATTGCTGCACGTCAGATGTGAAAGTAAAAATAAACGTGTGAAGCACCAGACAGAGTATGAAACACAAATCTGAAAACCTCATCTCCCAACAGTCTATTATCCCAAAACTGGCCCCCACCTATATGGCTATATGGGAGCATATATATATATATGTTTTATTTTTGATCGGCAGTATTTCCTGTAGGCAAGAAATCAAAGATCTTTTCAAGTTATAAATGACTTTTGGTCATTTATTTAGTAAGTAGGGAAGTCAGGATTTCAGATTGCTGGTATTTTGGGTATGTGCAGCTCTTTGATGTCCGAATGAGAACTGGAGGAATGTCTAAAATTAACAATGAACTGTGTAACATTAATGATGAAATGCAGAAGTTGGAGGTAAACAGGCACTTAGTGTGGTTTGGTTTTTTTGCCCCTTGAATAATTGTTTTTTTAGGGTTGAAACAAAGAACACAAACAGTTGAGAACACACAAATCCCAAGTTAGTGCTGTATAAGCAACTTCAGTTTGGATATTTGTGTGTGTGTAGGTTTACATATAATCAAACATGAAAAATTTAATATGTATGTGATTAGCAGAAGTTTTCTTTTTGGCACTTCAGATGCAACTGGATTAAATACATTCTTCATGACTTAATTTTGCTGAAGTGTTGTAGTTTTGCTGAGTTGTTATGGAAAATCGGTGGAAAAATTAATGTCAGTGTGACCAAAAAAAGGGGAATTTAACCAGTTTTGCATCTGAAAACATCTGTATTGTAGCTCTACAACAGTGTGGCTTCACGTGCTATTTTCCAGTTTTGTTCCAAGCTTATTTTTGAGCAGTCAGATGCCTGTTTGTGCAGCAGGTTGTCCGTGTTAGTGATGCTCAATGGGACAAGTATGATATTGCCATAAATACCGTGGGAATGTTTTCTTCTTGGAGCTACAACAGCGGTTCTTAAAAAGGTTACTTTGGCCATGCCTCTGGCAGCAGAAAACTTGTGGTGATCGTGGTCTTGATGAATAAAATGCCATCCAAAGTGCAAGATTTCTTTCACAGTCGTTTTTGGAAGCTGTCATTGAGGGAAAAACACACCCCTCAAGTTCACGCCTGAGTAATTGGATGCAGATTTAATATGATGCACTGCTTTATTTCTTCTCTGGGATGGAATCCATGTCCCATGTTGGGCATTACTCACCCTGGCAGGATTCAGTGGTCAAGCATGTTGGAATGAAGGATGGAGACCTCGCCGTTGCCATGAGTTATTTCTCTCAAGAACTGAGAATTTTGGTTCATCCTCCGAAAGCCTAATAAAATGTTTGTAGTAGAAACAGAAGTGTTGTAAAGCCATTGTATGGAAGCCCTTCGAGGATATCAAACCCTTGTGCGTGCAAGAGTAAATGTTTGGGAATGCTGGAAA